TAACATGGCTTGGGAAAGAAGACAAAATAAGTCAGAGTGGTAGAGAACAACCTGGAAATTTAGAGGAAGGGGATTAACCTCTTTGCTATGTCTCCTGTAAAGGGGTGTTCTGTGATTTCCCATGTCTACTATGATACACACTTTAGTGAACAGACAAGACTCCCCAATAGCTACTATTCTGTGAGAGTGCCTACAAAATATTCTCAAATAGCCAAATTTCCTCACTGGCCCAAACGCTTGCTTATCCATTCAATGCCAGGAAACTACGGATTAAAATGATAATTTTTTATTTCATTGTCATTACCTTCATACAGTCCTTTGTTTAATGTAATTAAACAAATATTCCCATCAATTACTACATATCCTCTTTTATATTTACTGGAATTGTGGAAAAAAAAACTGTTCGAAATATCCTTTTGCGCTAAGATTGCAATGTACCATTTCTGACATTTTATGAGAGCAAGACAGATACACCACTGTCTCTATGTTCAGGGAATATAACAAAAGAGGACAAACTATTTTGATTAACTGTAATGAACCTTTGTTACTTTTTCTCCCAAAAGATTCTAAAACACCATCCAAAAAGAAAATTTATCATGGCAAAGAGAATTTAAAAGAAAAAGGGTTATCTAAAATTCAGAGGTATGTTGGGTGACCTGCATCCGGAACAACTAAAGTGCTTATCTAATAACTAGCAATAGCTTTTACCAGATATTCTGATAGAGCTGGAAAATATGCTAGAAATTACACAGAGGAAGGTAACTAAATAGAGCTGGAAAATATGCTAGAAATTACACAGAGGAAGGTAACTAAAACAATAAAGGGCTTAAAACAACTTCCTACAAGTTAAAATATTGGGGTTTATTTTAAGCATGTTTTTTTTGGATAAACTAAATTAGCTGAGTATTAATCTATGCTATGCCAAAATCAAGCAAACTGTACTACGATTTAGCACAATGTGCAAAACCAGCCAGTTCTCTAAAACTGCTTTTCCCATTAAGATTAATTCACTGCATCCTCCATTTAATAGCTGATACAATCTTGTGTTTTTTACTTAAGTTTATCCCAACCTATCTTTTGCTAATCACATTCATACTACAGGTAGTCCCCAGTTTAAGAATGATTTCTGTTCCCAAGGTCTGTCCTTAAGTCAAATTTGTATATAAGCTAGAACAGCATTATTGTATAATACTGTGTAACTAATATAGTGTAATTAACTCAAATCATTGTGTATTTAACTTGAATTTTGCTGCAATAGGCTCCATTCTTAAACCGGGTGTTCTTAATTCAGGGACTACCTGTAATGCCAGTACTATTTATAGGAATATGTAATAGCAACATAACTTACCTAATGTTGTGATATCATGTAAGAAATAGCTGGTCTTTGCTTCATTCTCTGACAAAAATCTAATCCCAAAGTAGCCAACTGGGTAGGCAATCAAATGTTTTACACTACATAACCAATCTACTGGCCATCTCTATCAGTATGCATTATCCTGACCTACTATTCCCATGTAGATGGCTTGTGCTACCTTCTGGAATAAAACCAGCAGGATGAAATTCAATCTTAGGCAAACATTTTATATTCATAACTTTAACTACCGAGCTGTTATTTTAAGGTGTCACCACTAATACTGTACTTAAACAAGAATTTTTTTTTTAAATCTTGCATTTTTTTCCTCTACAATCCTAGATATGCTGCAGATGCACATTTACTGCAATTAAATGAAATTTCCTGCTGTTCTGAAAGTATTAGTAAAAAAAATGTAATAGAGAACTCCTGAATAAATTAAACCAGTCTGGAATCCATAATACATAAATACACTCTGATTATATACTGTAATGCTCCAATAGTTTTTAATAAAACCAAAATAACAATCACACCTTGTATTCAATAAGCAGGGAGCAATAATCAAGATGTAATAATCTTCTGAGCAATAACTGGAATATAGTTTGACTCCACTTCTAATCCAATCTACAACTTCGGCCAGTACTGGACCATCACTTCCATCCAAAACGCAACCCACTACATCAGTGTTATGCTTCCAAAAGAGGGCAACTGTTGCCTTTGTGTACTTGAGTTGTAACTACTGCTCTAGAACAGGGCACCTCTTTTATAAGTGAAGGAGCCTAGATAGCATGTGGGAAATTTCACAAATGAAGAATGGCAGCAACTTAGGTGAATACACGCAATGCCCACATTACAACTATGCAGCCTAACTGGAAACTTTTTTGTTCAGATACAAATCTCAGTAATACTGAACTGATCTAGTTTTAAAACAAATACTTGTTTCCATATCAATCTGTCTAACCATCTGCTGAAGCTTTTCTCCAACCACCTCTACTACTAAGAATCAAAACAGCAGAGGATAAGAGAATGCTGGGGGTGGGAGGGGAAAGATGCTAGGATGTCAGGTTCAGCCGAAGAATTACACTAGACACTCAGCTTCTTTATTAGCGAGCACCTAAGAGACAGAATCTCATGAGATTAATTCTAGTTCCCCCAACGAGAGCAACTATAACCATTAAGCCCTTAGGGAGGAGCCAGTCTCTTCCTCCTTACTTTCACACAGTCCAGCTGGGGGCTGAGGAGATGCTTGGAATGTCACTTCCCCCTCCCTGTAACCTTGAAGCTCCATTCCCGAATCCTCCCTGCTCATGCCTTCCATCACACAGGGTGTCCCATTGAACTTATTCCTTAAAAGAAGAAGTTAGGCAAAAAGGTTTTTTTCCCCCTCCCAGGTGGTTTAGGTATGTTAAATATTTTAAGATAGTAATCATGTATTTCCTTACCTAGGAAGAGGAGCCATTTAACTCACCAAAAGTTACTTCCAAATGCATATGCATTACCTCAGCGTTTCTCAAACTTCCACAGATCTTAAAGTTGCCAAGTTTGAGAAACATTGCATTAGATAGTACTGAAAACCAATATTAGCCAATTGAGGGGCTTTTTTTCACACTTTGGTATTGGATGAATTACGGTTCATCCAACGTACAAAGTACGGTTGTATGTTAGTATTTTCAATTCTAAAGCTGTCTGGTTTCAATTAATAAAAGTGTTTATTTTTAAAATATGAATTGCAACTTTAAGTACCGCACCTCTATTGGCCACTTTAGACTGGTGTGGCTACAACACCCTCTCTTCCAGTCCCTAAGCCAGTGTTTCTCAACCTTGACAGCATGGCTGGCTGGTGAATTCTGGGAGTTGAAGTCCACATATCTTAAAGTTGCCAAGGTTGAGAAACACTGCCCTAAGCTCTACCCTTCAGGACTGTTTGCTCCAGGAAGTGAAAGAATCCAGTTCTTTTGAACCAGGCCCCCTCTCTTTAGCTCCAGATGTTCAGCCCAACTTCTGGCTCAGAGATCTAGATGGTGGCTGACCAGCTAGAGAAGAAGGGCTGCATGATAAAGCAGGACAGAGGGAGAGTCTGTTTCTCTGCTGCAAAGTACAATGGTACTTATCAGCTTTTATGTAGGTTGATTTTGAATATACATTTACCCACTTTTAGAAGAGCACTAAAGCCATACAGTATTTAGAAATAGCTTGAAAAACAGCAAGCAATTGTGGGGAGAGCAACTGAAAGGGGAAGTGGGAGGGAGCTCTCCCACTGCACTGAGTATCTGCCCCTGGCACTTTAACTATTAATCAGGTTACTTTTAAACATGGGCTTAGCACACTTCTGAAAAAGCAGTAACCCTGTGCTCAAAAGCAATCTGATTTTGCAAAGTCAGCAAAAGAGCATTGGATCTGTAATTAAAAATACCCCCCCAATACAGTTGACAGGCTCGGGGGTGGGCTGTGGGGTGAAGCAGGATCTCTCCTGCTTCATCACAAAACTACTCAGAACATGTCAGCTGCTTGGGGGGGCTGGTTGACAAGTTCTAATCAGTCAGCTCTCCCTTTCTTCTGCCCTTGCAGCTCAGAGATAGCTCTTTATCAGCCAGATCTATGGCTGTTAGATCAGATCAGCTCCTCCAACCAAGCTTTTCCTGCTTGCAAAGCTGTGTCAGGACCAGGTTTGATGCCCCAGTTCATATTAAGGAGAACACTTAGGGGATGTTTTCCTGTCAATTGGTGACATTTGGCAACAGGGAAGGGAAACAAAGCTGAGGAACCCACTAATCCTGAGCTCCTGAATGAAAGGCAGGATAATCTAAAAAAATTCTTTTCCTTAATTTGTCCTGCATACAGCAGATAAGACCGCTATTTGGTGATGCCCCTACTGTGGCAAAACAGGAAACAGCAATGGGGACAGCAAATGTTAGATCATTATCATTTTCTGCCACCTCAAAGTTGGGTGGATTGCACTTTAATTTGGCTGTGGGATAGAGCCCGTAGAACCACACGTAACTCCTGCAGAACTTTAACTACTGTACTATGAAACTTCAGAAGTACCAATTGTCTCTTGACCATACAAGCCAAATTACAAATGCTTATACACTGAGGAAAATAAAACCCGTTTTTTATTTCTACAAATGTTTAAAACAGGAGGCTCAGAACTGAGATGCTTCACCCTAAAACCATATCCTGCAATACAATACTCTTAACAATAGTATATATTATTACCGAGGCAACTGTGATTCGGGCTTGATTTTCAACTGGCCTCTGCGGTGTCTCAATAAGAAATTTCTGTCCTTAATTAAAGTTTCCTGCGGGGAAAAAATAATAAAAGGAACTGCGACTCAATGCTAGAAGTTCCCACTGGGGTGCAGTACGTGTGGTCTTTTTAAATGTGTATTTCTTCACTAATATGGAGGATTAAAAAAAATTCAGAGTTGGGGGAGCGGGCGATCCGTGTGATCCTAGATCTCGCAAACTTTGTACAGTCAGCACTCAGGGGACTACGACTCAAAACCATTTTTCCACCAAACCATCTTGAGAGCAGACCACGGGCAGACCTAACTCCAGTTTCCGTCCCCTGCCGATTCCTACGGCCAATGCACTGCGCGAAGGGATAAAAGCTAGAATTGCCTTCCGACAAGATCTGCTGAACGAGTACCTTTCCCAGAGACGCTCTTAAAGCGAAATGCCTTGCGGTGTATAAGAGGTGGTCTCCAGACGGGACGCCGCTGCTATAAGGGCGGCCGTTCGGGCTAAGCCAACAACTTTCTGGAAAGCCTGCAGTTGAAAGTCCAGCAAGGCGCGGCGGCAGCTTTAACAACTTCATTAGCTCTTTACGGCCGAAAAGCGAGATCCGAGAGAGCGCCGTGTTTCGGGCTAGAGCGCGACCGGCGCATGCGCTGTAGTTCGAGAAGAACGACTAGTGACGGTGGATCGTACCTGCCTGGACATGGTTCACTGCCACCAAATAATGAGCTGCTGGATTCCTAAAAAATTCCACAGTTGCTGATGTAAATATACAGAACTCTAGCTTACAGCGCAAAATCACGCAATTATATATGCACCGTGTATATATCAGAGCAAAGCAAAATAGGATACAAGCTTTCGAATTTTCCTGAACGCTTTCTCGGGAAAAATGATAAGTTTATATTATTTATTATTATTTATATTTTTTTAAATATAAAAAAATATTTTTTTATA